TTCTCTGGCATTAGCTAATAGGCTGAGTGAGTTTATCTGGCTTACTTCATCCATCATAGAACTAGGGTTCTCCAACCTTTCCAACGTAGCCGATTTCTGTTTGGTTGATTTAACTCTACTCTTGCTACTGCTGTTAGACTGCACCGCTTGACTTGTATCCTGTAAAGAACACAGCTTTACACTTTGATCAGATTCTTTTGTTGATTGTATGCTCAAAGACGCATTGGTTGCTCCTTGATCTACACCCTCTTGGAAGGTCTTCATCTGTAATAAGGAATGATACTTTTGCCCAGAATATACAGCCTTAAATATATCACTGGCTTCAGAGCAAAGCGATTTTGGGCCATGAAAGAAAATGCTGCTCTTTGTGTTGTGCAAGATGACCTTGCGTAAACGTGACCGTACATTCAAGCAGCAGGTTTCAAACAGTTTATCTTTTTCAACCACACCAAGCTCTGCCAGACGTACCTCCTGAGAGTTAAAGTCACTGGCCACCATAGCCACTAGATTCTGAAGCTGCCGATGACTTTCTCCGACCTTCGATGAATCTGTACCCTCCAGTGTCACGGTCATCTCACCTTTGCCTGCTTGTTTCTCAGACATTTGCAAGTCAGATTTCATGCTATCCAGTTGGTTGCAATATACCTCCTTCATGTAGATCCACATTAGAGAAGACACAGTAAGTTCTGCTTCCACTTTAGTCATCGGACAATCTTCACTAGGTCTTCCGCTACTGATGCTATTGGATCTTGCTCTTTGATGAGCATGTGTGTTAATCATTGGCTCAACTGTAATAGGGTTATTTTGCAATTGATCTCTGAGGTTCGGTCGACCAGAGAAACTATTGGCCCTCCTTAAAGAGGATTTGGAAGAGGGCACTGATGTGGAGAAGGGAGCAGCAGTCTTCACTGCGGTATTACTGGCTGATAGGGCATTCACACTTGAAGATTTGACTCCTGTGGTAAATGTTGAAGTGAGTCCAGTAGGAGTTGTTGGTTTGGCCTTGTATGTGCTATAGGAGGCCCTACCAAATGTATTCACAGATAGCGGGTCTTGGTTTTTAAACAGGACATCCTCTCCGGTAGAGCTCGGACTTGTCATCCTGAATGCTACAGTTCCTCCCTCTGTCAGTTCATTACCGAGTAAGCCTGCGGTGCCAAGTGAAGACTTAGTCGGTGGTGCTGATTTAGAGTTTAGGTCTAACATTTGCATGTCCATTTTAGCAGTAAGACTCCTTATGTCTCCACCCATCTCCTCTCTACCAAGTAGCCCAGAGCTCTTAAACCGAGCCGCCAGTTTGTACTCTTTTGTATTCCCAACATCCCCTTTTCGTTCAGTGCTAGAGCCCCCTATCAGTTTAGGGGGCACTGGAGTATGTACCTCACTTTTTCTCCTAACTTGTTGCTCTCTTGCCAAGGATTCAGGAGATACTGAATCAGAACTGGAAGAGGATGGTGGCAATTCTGTTAAGCTCCCCATCACGCTTTTCTCCACCCCAAGCAGTAGCATTTGTTTGGCCTGAGATACCTCTGTTTTTTCTCCAACTATATAAATGGTGTCCTGGTCATAGCTAAACAGAACATTAGGCAGTACTAACTGCACCTTTTTTAATGCTATGGTCAGTCCGTCTGGCATGTAAAGGGCACTCTTTTTAACCTGGTCTTTCCGCAGACAACCCTCTTGCTGTTGATAAAGCTTCCTCAGCTCCTTATGGGCTTGCCGTATGTTTTGTTTAACATCTGATCTGCTTGGGACCTCTGATTGCAGGTACAGGGTGGTGATTCCCTCAGATGTCACGTGGACCACTTGCACTTGATGATGACGCAGGATATACTTGTATTCTTCAATGCTCTGCAGGTATGCAAACACATCAGCTTCCATGATAATCGAAAGATCTTCCAAATCAGCTTCATCTATCCTGCACTCTGCTTTCTCCTCCATTTTGCTTTTCTTAGTCTGAGTACTGCGTTCAGTGAGAGCTTCATTCCTTTCTTGTAGTCCGTAGTGCTCTTGTCCGAAACCCTCCGTGGATCCGTAGCTGAAGTCTCCTGCATGAAGGCCTGGTGACTGGGATGCAGAGCTGTCCCATTTCTTTACACTTGTAAGGTCTTCCTTGGTCTCTGGACTTTGACCGCTGTCTCCACTAAAATAAGGGTATTTGGCTCTTGAAAGGTGATGATAAAATAGCATCTGCATATGAGGAAAAGCGCCTTGAAAATCTGAATATTTGCCTTGCAAGGTGCACACATGCTGTAATAAGCCACGTTGCATGCGTAGACCTGGAAACTCACTACACAGTACATTCAGAGTGTCTGCACCCCGAGGAAGCTGACTGCAATCTATAGTCACAGTCATATCGAGGATCACCTAAAGGAGTACAAAAACATAAACAAAATGTGCTTACATAAGTTTGGGAAATGGGATTATTTTTTTCAAGCACTGTCTAATCTTGCGTATTCTGTCAGCAAACCTTATTCAGATTCAGGTGCTCTTGGCATGGGAGACCCAGGGAGAGTTCATATTTTATGCCGTCCAGCTGTAAAATGTGAGGATGATGATGAAGTACACTCTGGACCACTAAATTGAACCAGAAAGAAAGGATCAATATCATTTGACAGATAAAAACTGGCTCAGAAGTTTACACACAAAACCCAGATGGAAGTTCATTTTTAATAATGTTTGATTTATAAAAGCATCAATTCTCATCTTCTCTTTTTCTCACCAAAGACACTGATACTCAATGATCAGACTCTGCTGCAAGACGAACAAGCACATTGAAAACTCACTGCCTTTAATCAGGCTTGACGGTATATAAAGAATACCTCCTCACCCCCCATACACTTTATTAGCAATCTGACTACACAGCTAAAATGTTGTCTTGGCAGACCAATCAGCTAGCACGAGCCAGAGACTTCATTAGGAATATGCCAGTCGTTTGGCTGCCAATCAGTGCACTTTGGATTTTTTTCCATGACCAGCTACTCTGGCAATTACATTTGAATGCACTGAAATTCAATGTATGTACCAGAAATAGAAAGAGTGGGGTAAGATGTGTCAGAATTTTATGCTAAAACAATGCAAACATATCCAGACACTAAAACGTAAATCACACAATGCTGTAAATTCCCAGAGTGTAGGCTACATACAAAAACATGTTAATTATTTTGCTTAAGAATAGCCATGATTTATTATTATAAGCATTTTGCCAAAATGGTAGTTGCAGAGGGTAAATTGGACCAGATACAACCCTTAATGTTTTCATTATGTAGTAACCCTGCATGTTGATGATTCACATATTGCTTAAATAAATTGATTTGTCCAATAATTGCAAGCAAAATTCCAGTGTGCAGTGTTTATGTAATCTACGTGGATTATATAAACACTGGCAATGATAACTTAACACTGGGGGTTTTACTGTAAAAAAGAAGAATGTTAAAAAGAGTTTTACTACATTGAAATATTGTGAAATTTTGACATAAATAGTAAAAAATGTAAAAGTGGAAATCGTGAGATGGTTTTTTTTTTCATAATTCTATGGCCATAGTACAGATGCTTTCCCCCCACCTGAAGCATAATTAGTCCTTGCTTTATCTAAAGTGGCACCCCACTCTTCCCAAGCTATTTTTTATTTATCAATGTCCATTCATTCATCTATTTACACAATGTACAGTGATGTAACAGCAGTCCTAATAACCATGTAAACAATCTATCTGACCTCTACTCTGCTCAAATGTGACGAGGGCACGCAGAGGTGTCCGACCGATGATAGTGACTGACGTGACCTCTCCTCCTCCATTCCTCTCGCGTAGAAAGTGAATCAATAGTTTGTCCCGTAGACGTTCATGATCCACGTCTGTTGGCAAGCCGTAAACGCACACCGCACGGTCTTCTTCCTCTGCCATCCTTCAGGGTTGCCACCTATAAACAGTGATTTTAAGTAAACACAAGTGGTTGTAAGGGCGGTATGATTATTATGCGTCACCAGACAAGCTATAGAGCAGATGCATATCCCTACCGAAAAAAAAAAATATTTTCCAGCTAAGTCAGTCACTATATCTTCCTCATTATAATAAGCAAACGGAGGGAAAAGTCGTTGTCCAGTCCAGCGTTTTTGTACGTCGGAGCTCGAGCACACAGGAAGTGTTACTAACAACAGAGTTGGTGACAAATGTCGCGATTACACTGTCGTTTTTACAAATGAGTAAAGATAATGTTGTTTTATCACCTATGTGTCTCGATATCAACATTTCGTAGCTTTATTCATCTTTTGCATGAAGAGTTTGCCCTTTTTCTAATGTCGTGCGTGGCGTCGTTTAACTTAGCCTACATGAAAAATAAAAGTGAAAGTACGGCAGAAGACCAGGAATTGTATTTATGACTTGAGCCGCATGGAAACCGTGATGTCACGAGTAAAATTTGTGAACCTTATTTTCTGTGTGTGTATATATATAATAATTTATTTATTTAATATATTTATAATGCGATCTGGGAAAACCCGTCGGATGTCGCGCTGCACGTTTTCAGTAAAGTCTAAAAATAGATTGAATGTCAGTTTTTTGTCAAAATTTGTTTTTTTTTTATTAAATTATCATTCTATAACATTTTTTTATCATCTCTGAATATAACTTGGGAAAATTTACTAGTTTACTGCTGCAGAAAAATAGCGATTTATAATGACCAGCTGAAACAGAATGCGTTTCTCTTTAACAACACGCACGCAGGCGGAGCGGCGGGGGAAACACAGATCTCCCTTATAGCTCTCTTTCTCTTAACACTACAAAGACAGTTCATCTATCAAAATAAACCACATAACAGAATAAAATCCAGTCCTCTGGATGAACTACAACGGCACGCAAGTTTTTATTTATTTTTATCCAGCGGTATCGTGTGGTGTGATGCGGAGCACAAGAGAAAAACAGAGTTTGGAGCTGCTCGTTTAATAGACCTTGCTCGCCTCTCAATCGTCCAATTTCAAAATGGTTTTCACAGGTTGATTTTTGAGTTCCTAAGCTTTCGAATGATACCTAATCTATGATGATTACTAAAATATGTGATATGAAAAAGGGCAATAAAAAGGGAGCGCCAGTCGTCGTGCTAGGAGAGTGTGACGGTTCATTTAAACCTGTTTTTCTCAAAATTCTGTTTCTGAAAATCATAGCGATCAGCCAACTTCAGATAACCATAACTTTTGTTGCAGACAACCGATAAAATAAATAAAAACAGATTTGGAAAGGTCTTGAACCAAACTTTAATATGGTCTCAAAACCTGGAATATGTCAAATTTCACCATGTGGTGGGTTTTCCCAGATCGCATCACATTGTTGTCGCATGTATATCTTATACTGCTCTTTAAAGACAATTAGTTTATTTTAAGAGCAATTAAATTATATACAGTTACATTAGTAGGCTATTATTATGATAAATGCATAACTTATTTTGCAGTGATTAAGTATTGGATTTTTTTAAGAACCATAATTACACCTCAAACTGATGAAGTGATATCATTTGATACGCCATCTACAGGCGATACCTTGTTAGTGCAGGAAAACATTTGCTCACATTCTAGTCTATTAATAGCCAGAGTTTCACAGTGTTTCAGGTCAACAATATCTTGTGACAGGCAGCTTCGTTCTTGCAAGGACATGCGGTCGTTTCTTTAAGAGGAATTTCAAATATAACAAGCATAGTCTAATCAAACAGATGTTTTACGCAAGTTTATCATAGGTTCTTTAAGTGCAGACTATACAGGAGGAACTTGAAGTGCGTTCAAGGTAGGAAGACCTTACCATTCACACTGTTCTTCTCAGCTGTTGTAGACTGTCTGAGCTAGTTATTAATTACAATTTTTTAAATTTATTTATTTATTTGTAAGGGGACAGTGTACATTAATCAACATTAGAACAATGTAACATTACCCGAGTTAGCTAAAAGAGCTCATTTTCATCGATAGTGCCCCACTATCTAAGTCTGTTCCATATAAACAAAATCACTTTTGCAACGCACTGGGTACTGAACTATTGAGCCATTCTGCTTTATAAACACTCCTATGTGCAGTTACTAGGCCTAAACACTAACAGCACAAGGCTGCTGTGCCAATACTCTTTTGTTCCAGGTATACTACTCTGGGACACTTCTGGGACACTCTTGTTGGGATGTCCCGGGACACCTTTCCCTTCAGTTCTGCTTCTCTGCGCTCCTTAAGGCTGGATCAGGAGCTTCAGGACTGGGAGGATGCCAGGCGGGCACTGGCACACAGGAGGGCAATGACGAGGCGTCCTTTGCCTGCCGCCCCCAGACTCCGACATGGAAATGAGAGGATCCAGACGATCCGTGCTCCTCCACCCCAAATACAGTGCCGAGACCCAGCCATCCACAATACCTTCATGTGTGGAGATATGAAGAGAGTGTATGCTGTCCTCAAAGATCCAGGCATGGTGAATGCACTGATGGAGACCGTACATGAGGAGATGGCTTGGGCCCCGGAGATGGGTAGGACCCTTTAACACACACAAGCACATACGTTCAGGGGTATTTGGGTAAATTCACTCATCTCATTCTGTTGCAGGAATGTGGACTCTCATCTCAAAAGTAAAGCAGACGTCTGCACTGCGTCTGGCTGCCAGCAGGGGCCACTCTGGCTGTGTCGAGGAGCTGCTGTTTAGGGGCGCAGAGGTGGATGCAAACACAGGCGGTCGCACAGCTTTACATGATGCCTGTTCAGGGGGCCATCACATCTGTGTGCGCCTGCTCTTAGACCACGGGGCTGACCCTGACCTGCTCGATGTCGATGGCAATGCCCCGCTGCTTCTCTGCAATGCAGTGGAAACATATCAGTGAGTAGCCCTGAATATGGTCAGATGAAGATACAACAAGATGTGAAAAAAGTAATCAATAAAAACATACAAACTAAATGAATTAATAAACATTATGGTGACAATTTTGCATTTTGAACAATTTGCATGTTTGCGTGCATTAGCATGTTTATGTCAACTGATTAATCCCTGCATACAGGGCATTACAGTAGTCTGAATGTGAGGTCACAAATGCATGCATCACTCTCTCTAAATCCTCAAATGACAAAAATGGCTTGACTTTTGTCAAGGTTCTTAATTGAAAGAAACCTGATCGAACAACAGCGTTAACTTGTTTGTCAAGTTTTAGATGTTAGATCTGATTAATCGTTTTGACAGCACTAAACTTAAATAAATGTTGTTATTTTTAAATAAATGTTATTTTGCAGAACTTTTTTCAACATTGATATAAATAAGAAATGTTTCTTGAGCACCATATCAGCATATATACATATATATATTCCTGTGATCCAAAGAAGTTCAATTTGAATATATATATAAATATATATATTGAAATTGAAAACTGTTATTATATAAAATGTAATAATATTTCACTTTTCTACTGTATTTTGGTCAAATAAATGCAGTCTTGGTGAGGAGAAGAGACTTTCAAAAACATAAAAAAATCTCACAAACCCCAAATTTTTTAACGGTGCTGTATAATTCAACCGAAAATGAAAATATCTCTATTTACTCAACCTCATGTCATTCTCTCTCTCTGTAGTAATAAAGACATCAGTCACACTCGTATCTGCCCTGCAGGTGTGCTGAGCACTTGGTGACCAGTGGTGCATTGGTGAACACGGCCCAGCGTGACTCATGTCTCACCCCCCTTCACGTGGCCTGCAGGAGAGGTCTAGAGGAGCATGTGGAGCTCTTCTTGTCCTCTGGAGGGGACGTGACAGCTCAGACCCAAGAGGGTGAGACACCCTTGAATGCAGCCTGTGCTGGGGCGGAGAGGCCCGCAGATGCAGGACGGTATCTGCGCATTGTCCAGAAGCTGCTTGCAGCCGGGGCCGACGCACAGACTGCTGGGAGGAAAAAGCACACGGCCCTGCATAATGCCTGTGGAAACTGTTGTCCCCGCATTGTTAAACTGCTGCTGGAACATGGGGCTCGCGCGGACATAGCTAACTGTGCCGGATACACACCCATGGACTGCCTGCTGCAGGTGGGATGATGATAGGGTAGAGATGCCTGCTTGCTGAAGGTGGGATGATGATGGGGTAGAGATGTTTTCAGATGTTGATTTTCACAGAGACCGTATCAAAATATAAAGAGCACTTTTTATTGAAACGGTTTACCCTAAAACTGAAATTTGGGAATGAAAGGCAAGGTCTGATCTGGAAGCATTACAGTAAGTGTGAAGCTGATGGTTGACTTCTTCTCTCTCTGTTTTACCAGGTAGTAGAGGATTACCCAGACCAGCAGCCAGATGTTGTGGCCCAATCTCTTCTTAACTATGGAGCAAAGCCGTCCTCCCCTAGAGTAAGTGCTGATTGTTGTGTGTCCCTTTGGTACGAATCCTTATTTTATTTATCTGTGTGTGTAAATCTCAGATGCTGAAACTCTGCCTCCCCTCTCCTGCCACTTTGGAGGTAATGCTGAATTGCTATGCGGTCGTCCCAGAATGTGAGGAGTGGTTAAAGGACACATCAGAGGAACGACTGAAGGTCTCTAAAATATATAAATCATATTCCAAAAATGTTATGCTGCATAGATCAGGAGAATTAATAGGTTCTCAGATTGGATTTGTAAACAGATCAACATCTAACATCAATTAAAAGCAGAAGCAAATGTGTTTGCCACAATTTAACATACAATAAGAATGTAGACATATACATTGAATTAGTATAGCTCAGATTATTTAAAATATTTTGCTATATATATATATATATATATACTGTAACTTGAATATATTTTAAAATGTAATTTATTTTGGTGATCAAAGCTGAATTATCGGCATCATTACTCCAGTCTTCAGTGTCACATGATCCTTCAGAAATCGTTCTAATATGATGATTTAATTCTCAAACATTTCTTTATATTATTGAATATTGTTATGAATACTAATATGATTCTATGAATCATATGATAATATGATTAATAGAACGTTCAAAAGAACAGCATTTGTATTTGTTTTAGGAAATGTTTAATGTTTTTTTTTGGTCATTTGAATGTGTCCTTGTAGAATAGTCTTTTCTTTCTTTCTTTCTTTCTTTCTTTCTTTCTTTCTTTCTTTCTTTCTTTCTTTCTTTCTTTCTTTCTTTCTTTCTTTCTTTCTTTCTTTCTTTCTTTCTATCTTTCTTTCTTTCTTTCTTTCTTTCTTTCTTTCTTTTTAATTCTGACATTCAGAAAATAATATCCATGTATTGTACTGACAGGAGCATCAGTCTTTCTTCGATGCGGTGAGACGGATGAGTGGTCAGCCTCGCTCTCTTCAGCACCTCTGCCGCTGTGCACTGCGTCTCCACCTGGGGCCACTGTGCCACTTCGCAATAGTCCAGCTCAACATCCCCAGCACTTTAAAAGATTATCTACTGCTGCATAATGACGGACAGCTCCATTGAGATCCACTCTTAGAGAAACAAAGAAATAGCTGAGTGACTGGAAACAGTGGGCTGAACTTTTCTTTCTTTCTTTCTTTCTTTTTTTACAAACTATATTTATCATCTGTGATAAATACATAATGTTGTAAATTTATGTCTGTCAGATGGTTTTAGATCCCTAGGCACCTCTTGACAAGAGAAGCTAAGTCAAGTATGGATTATGGACCGGTGGGGTCTCTGGCTATCAGAGCATGGTCTCAAACTGTGACTTGAAATACAGAAATAAGGGACTTCGATGGATAGTGCTTGAAAATGTGCCAATGGCTGTCCTCGCAATGTGAAATAAACAAAAAAATGAGAATAAGATCAGCACTAACTGAATGTGTTATTGCAGCTTTGGTGATGTATCAAAATCTATAGAGTTATTGCTCTTTATTTATTGTAAACCACACACACTAAAGCAGCAACACACTAAAGCTACCTTTTTTTCAAGAATTAAAAACATAAAAATGTATATCTGTCCCAGAATTTGCATGCAATCCTGCAACCTTGTGATTTTCCCCCATTACACAATAGATTTTTACATTTTCTGTTTACTTATTTAAATTAGAAGTGAGATATTGAGCATTATGCTACGTTGTTTTCACCAAATAACAGACTTTGGTTTCACACAATCGTTGAATGTTTTGTCAACCACGTGACCTCCCTACTCTAGCTGAGCGTCAGCTGTGCGCGTGCGCGTGAGATTGTACGTGTGTTTATTTATTTCTATGCGAAGTGTTGCGTGCGTCTTTCAACTGGCGTAGGGATTAAAACATCGTCGATCCAGAATGATCTGAAGTAAGAGAAGGTAAATGTGCTGCAATACATGTTTAGAGGACAAGTGTTCTGTTAAAACTCGCGAATCAAGGTCGTCCTACATCACCGCTACCTGATTAGCTGCCTTCCCTTCTAGAAAGACAAAACAAGGATATTTTTTGTATTAAATATATTTTCTGCTCGTTTTTCGTCTCATTTGTGTTTAACATAGATTGTAACGCTGTTTTATTCCCCGTGGGCGACATTATGTGTAACGGTGAATGTTTGTTAAGGGTTCATGGCTTTAGCGAAACCGCTAGCGAACATCTAACGTAAACGAAGGTTCAAACTGTCTGATAACAGTGTGTTTCAAACTAATAGGCTAATATATAACATTACAGAGACATATTATAGTTTTAATGCAGTACCACATTTGTGTTTACTTTCAAAGAAAGGTAATTTATATTATGACACTCAGTACTTTGTGTCACCGGGCTTATCGTCTAATGCAGTTAAGAAGTGTGTCGCTTTATGTTAGATAACAGAGTTAAGGATCTTTACGATCCACGCAACACACTACTATAGATTTTTCTATCAGTTTCAAGTAGTTCACCAAGACTAAGAAGTCTTCTTTAAATTCAAAATGGAATTCAGTTTGACCGTTTGCTTTCTTAATTCACTTTCCTGGCTTTTTTCTATAAAAGACATTCAGAGGTAAAAAAAAAAAAAAAAGGTTTGCCTCTGATACATCCTTCCTCTTTGGATGACATCACTGTGTCCTGTTATCTGATTGGATAATGTATTGTAACAGTATTTTGTATTGTTCAATATCCTATTTAACTTAGAAATATGTCACAAAAGAGAAGTAAAATGGCATGTTATTACGTTTTATTCTGACTTAATCTTTCTCTTACCTGTGTGCTCAGATAGAGAGGGGCTGGGATGGCGGTGTGTGCTCTAACTGTGCTTGACGGGCTTGGGGAGGAAGCTACGGCTTTGGGTGGGGTGGTTGTCCTGTTCCTGGCCTTGGTCCTTGCCTGGCTGTCCACCCACGTGGCTGACCGTGGAGATCACATTCTGGGGACCATTCTTACCGTAGGCGCCCATGCCTCCCTCATTGGCCTTGGGGGACACGACAGTTATGCAAGCTCCCCTCCCAGCTCAGAGCCCAGCGAGCAGCCAGACGAGGAGCCCACAGAGGAGGAGAAACAAGAAGAGGGCGAGGGCCGGCCAGATGGGGGAGATGATGTGCCTGGAGAAGAGCTGCTGGATATTCAGGGTGGGAGGAAGAAAGTGAGCTATGTTCAAGGTGATGAAAATGAAGAGGGGATAGAAGAGGAGTCTGAGGACGAGGCCACCAGCATCACGGTGAGACTGAAGTTTCTAAATGACACTGAGGAGCTGGCAGTGCTCAGACCGCAGGACACTGTTGGATTGCTGAAGAGGTGAGTCAAACACACACAGGAAGTATTGAAAAAATATCCTAGTTATGATCTTGCGTATGAATGGTAGAAATCGCAATGCTCAGTCTGTCATCTGTCGGAAAGGAAGACCCAAAATCAACATTTTTATGTCGGCTGTACCAACATTGTTTCGCACACGAGTATTACACAATGGCCCTCATTTATTAAAAGTGCGTACACCAAATTTCCAGCGTACACTCAAAACCACGGTGACTTTGAGATTTATCAATATGGACGTTGGCGTACGGCACGCTCAAATCCTACACCAGCTCAGGAGGTGGTGTACGCACGTTTTGAGTTAGTGAGGAAATGCGCTGAGAAAATCCTAACACCACAAAACGCACTGACAAACTAAAAGATGATATATTATGACCCACTGTAAAAAATAAAATAAACAAAAAAATAAAAAAATAACTTCATTACAAAAAACAACAAAATTATAAACTTCAGTATTTATTTTTGACTTCAATGTTTAATTTGTGTGACTTTACCAAAGCATCTGATTTGTAAGCGTATTCCTTCAGTTGCGAGAATGTGGACCCTGCCGTTTCAGGATTAGCTATCCCCGACAGGTGCGCACGGACTCGGTTCGGTAATGAAAGACTTTCAGTGACCAAAAAATAATTCAGACTGACAAAATAATAAAATTTAAATGATAATAATAATACAAATAATAATAACGACATCCTTCTTCTAAATAACAATAAGCATCATTAATACAAATCTTAATAAGAAGAATATTACAAATTGTCATGCAATTATTAATGTGAATGAATGGTACTTTACATCACAACATCATCATATCATCATCACTATTATACATGTGACGTGATTTAAAATTGAATGCTCATTTCAAAAGACGTGCTGTAAAATAATGCATTGTGATAGGTCATTTCGGCTCCGCGTCGGAAAAGTTTCTCTTCTTTGCCGTCTTTCGTGTGTCCATGGCGTAAAATTAGGGCGTGGGGGGAGCGGAGACTTAAATATGTAGGGGCGTGTTATTCTAATGACGATCGTTTTCGGCCGCGGGATTTATCAAGGGCAGGCATTGCGTACACCTGGATTTCAAAGGTACGCACAGCTTCATAAATCAGGCGGTGAGAGGAGTGTAAGCATAATCTTACACCAAAATATACGCCCGTTTCTACGCAACAATGATAAATGAGGGCCATTGTGTTGTAGCTGTCCAGTGTTCACTTTACCATCTTAGTCAGCTGTATTCAATTTTTTTTGCCTCTGAAGCTTAAACCAGAGACATCATAATGTCTGCTTTGAGATAGCAAAATGAATAAACGTGTTGGTCAATTGCACAAACAAAGCATGTAAGCATCTTGTCGTTACTCTTGTTTGGTTCTGATTTCTCTCCCTCTCTTTCTCTCAGTAAGTACTTCTCAGGCCGTGAACATCAGATTAAGCTCATCTACCAGGGCCAGCTGTTGCAGGACCCCCAACGCTCTCTCCTGTCCCTCAACATCACCCATAACAGTGTGCTGCACTGTCACATCTCTCAAGCCCAGGCGCTGCGTGAGGCGTCCGCAGAGGAGAACCCCCGAGCCGGGAGAGGCTCCATGCTCAGCGGGGGGCTGCGGTCGGCCGGCCTGGCCCTCAGCACAGGAAGCCTGGTGATCCCCGTGTTCGTGGTGCTGCTTGCCGTGGTCTGGTACTTCCGAATCAACTACCGCCAGCTGTTCACTGCCCCGGCCACCATCTCTTTGGTTGGGGTCACGGTCTTCTTTAGCTTCCTCATCTTCGGCATGCACAGCCGATGAGAGGACAAATTATGCCAATATTAGGAAGACGAAATGACAGGACGTGAAAATAAGCAGTCAGTGGTAGCCGAGAAAGTTCTCAGGGAGCCCTCGAGGGTTCTGGTGCCATTTAGACGACTGAAGTCGTGTGTGAGGTGAGTGTGTGCTAGTGCTTTCAGCTGTGTAAGCAGCAACACTGCTGTATAATTTAGCTTCTTGGAGAAAAAAAAAATAGCTTTATAATTATTTAATCTCAGCCTAAAGTGTAGCTTCTCTGTGTAAAGAGAAGTTAGGATCCCATGTCTGACTGGTCTTTAATTTTAGAGAAATTGAATTCAGCTGATGGTTTTTATCACTTAATGTGTCTCATCTTCATCGGTATTAGCACTATCATCTGTTGTAGAAAAAAAAAAGTCATATGATCAGTCTTATTGCACAAATAACAACAGATGTGATGTGTCAGTTAGCAGATGTTGTGAGAGATCAATTTCCTTTTTGATTTACTCAACTGATTTTTGATGTTTGTTATTGAAGGATGTTTTTCTTCTCTTTTGCCAGGTATACTGTATTTATTTCAAACTTGTTTTTACATGACAGTCTGGTTCAGCATGTCTGCTGCTAGTTACAACTCATAGTAATTAGGAGTTCCTCAATTAGGAGTTTCATACTTGAAGATTTTTCATGCAAGCAACAGAAGCATCTGGTTGTAGTCTAAAAAAACTCACTGCATTAATAGGCAATTCATATGTGACTGATAACAAAGCAAATAATTTCTTGTCCTATATGAAATCTGTATATAAGCAATGTATTTACTGTAGATAAATCAAGAGAGTTTTGGAGGAACCTTAAAACTCTCTGACAATATGGTCACAGTTTTTCTCAGTATTGTCAGAAATTGGGGAAACCCCAAAATGGTTTTGGGGGATAACTGGTCTATGTATTCTCACCCTTGCTTTAACAGACAACCAGCACCTCTTTAATTAAAATGCATTTTGTTTTTGCTTTGATGCAGTAATTCAGAATAAAATAGCTTATCTTTGAAAAAAAAAAGTTGTTGTGCTTATCCACACACACACAATTAACACCAACCATAATTCCATGATGAGGCTTTTAAAGGGATACTTGACTTTTTTTGGAAATAGGCTCATTTTACAACTCCCCCAGAGTTAAACAGTTGGGTTTTACCGTTTTTGAATCCATTCAGCTGATTTTCTGATATTTTGAAGAATATCAATAACCAGACCGTTTCTAGTATCATTGACTTCCATAGTAGGAAAAAAATATACTAAGGAAAGGAAATTGTGAAACCTGAGACATTTATTTAGACTATTACAGAGATACTACAGTCCATCGAGAGAAAGAGAGCAATAACTCAGCATAGCACAAGAAATATCCACCCACAGCAATGGCATACCCTGTGTAAGTTGTACCATGCTTTGTTTTTCCCTCCATCATGCAGACATTTCCATTCCCACTCATAGAAAGGTCTCAGGTTATTTAAACTTAAAGCAACACAATTCACAAACAGCTCAGTGACAAAAATAAAACTATACCAAAAAAGACAAGGCATCTATATGGGCTGGATTTGATCCATTTTAAGTGCATTTTCAATTACTATTTGCATTTCTGACATTTTTTTTTTTTTTACCCAAACATATTTCAAACAAAACAAGCTGACACCTAACACATCATAGTAAGTGCTCTAAGATCACAAACTCTTCGGCCATTTTACACCTTGTAATCCAAAAAAAAAATGCATATGTTCGATCAAAAAGTCATGATTATATAAAAAAAGACAAATATTATATTCACAAGGCAGACTAAATAAATAGAGTATCAAACAAGAAAAATTAGCCATGACGACAAACAAGATTCTTGTAGATTCTTATTCAAACAAGATAACTTCTTAACACAAAAGGCTAAAGATTGTGTCCACAGATTTGGCAGAAAGCTATTATAGCACTATAGAAATGCATTATTTAGCAAGACATTGTCAAGAGAGTATGAGTAATAGCAGAAAGCAGCTGAGATCAACAGGTGCAGTAACATTAGCAAGACAATATGATGAAAAGACACCCTTTAAAACCAGTACAGGACATTGCACAGATTAACCGACTGTATTACATGAACCACCAGGGACAAAATATTTGCAACAACCCATTCACTCATGCACACCATGGCACATATTCATGTGTCACTGTAAACCTAAATCTCATGTATACATACAGACAAGACTATGCAATAACACAATGATAGTGAACTGCATAGCAAAAAAATAAAAATTAAATAAATTCTCACTCCAACTCACATCCACATACAAAAATCACATTTAGTCACAAAACACTCACTTTTCACTGTGCAACACTGTGCCATAACAAATGTCTGAAATGCTGCCCATACCTTTCCTCTCTTACACACACTTTCAACAGTGAGTTTGACTTGTTTCGCTCATGTGCCTTGAAATGGTGAAAACCAGAGATCATATAAGGACTGATCAGAAAATATGTGTAAGTATGTGCAAGTTTCGTTAGTTCAGATCATCGTAGATGCTGGGGGCCGGAGGAACTGGCAGTTTTGGTCGCTTTTTACGACTGGACAAGCCCAGTGCATTCTGGGAGCTGCTGCTACCGCCACCGCTCCCGCCGCCCGCTACTCTCTCTCTGTCTCCTCTCTCTCGCTCCTGCCCTTTGTCCCTCTCTCTTCCACCTCCAGCAGAGGTCAGAGACAGCGTGCTGGGCTTCTTCTTTTTCTTAGGTCTCTTAGATTCAGAGTTATTGGTGCCTGAGAATGAGACGGCGAATAAGTGAAAAAGAAAAAGGGTAAAATATGTTGTTTTTGAAAAACTCACTAGCTTTTGAAGATGCAGAGTCTGATGGTGAGATATCAGAGGAGCCGTCCCATTGGAGACGGGACATGATGAGCTGGCCATCAGGGGCATCATAGCTATCGTTTTCCAGCATTGAATCAGAGTTGGGTAGTGTCGATCTATCAAACAGGAAGCAGGTAATGATTACAAAATGACAAATGCTGAACAAGGACATGGTTTACCAAGAACCCCAGTTCAAAGAAACAACCAAAACTCTGTAATGGCCACCTAGTGTTCAGTAGTGTTCATGACATGTTGATATGCCTTTAAGATGACTTCTTCTATGGCGTTCGAGCCTTCCAGAGCTGAGATCTTGAAATTTTTATAATGGCATAAATGCTACGTGGGATCTCAATATCTCAGCTCTTGAAGGGTCTAGAGACTCCATTTTTGCACTCGGGTCTAAGTCTCATGGCCCTCTATCAGAATCCAGAGTTTTGGGAAGATTGGAGAAACGTAATTTTTCGCCCGAAAAAAAAAAACGTAAGGGGTAACACTGTCGTTTTTTTTTCGGGCCGAATTTTTGAGTTTCGATATCTCAGCTCTGGAAGGGGCTAGAGCCTCCATTTTTGCACTCAGGTCTAAGTCTCATGGCCCTCTATCAGAATCCAGAGTTTTGGGAAGATTGGAGAAACTTAATTTTTCGCCCGAAAAAAAAAAACCGTAAGGGGTACCACTGTCGTTTTTTTTTTTCGGGCCGAATTTTTGAGTTTCGATATCTCAGCTCTGGAAGGGGCTAGAGCCTCCATTTTTGCACTCAGGTCTAAGTCTCATGGCCCTCTATCAGAATCCAGAGTTTTGGGAAGATTGGAGAAACTTAATTTTTCGCCCGAAAAAAAAAAAACGTAAGGGGTACCACTGTCGTTTTTTTTTTCGGGCCGAATTTTTGAGTTTCGATATCTCAGCTCTGGAAGGGGCTAGAGCCTCCATTTTTGCACTCAGGTCTAAGTCTCATGGCCCTCTATCAGAATCCAGAGTTTTGGGAAGATTGGAGAAACTTAATTTTTCGCCCAAAAAAAAAAACGTAAGGGGTACCACTGTCGTTTTTTTTTTCGGGCGATTTTTGAGTTTCGATATCTCAGCTCTGGAAGGGGCTAGAGCCTCCATTTTTGCACTCAGGTCTAAGTCTCATGGCCCTCTATCAGAATCCAGAGTTTTGGGAAGATTGGAGAAACTTAATTTTTCGCCCGAAAAAAAAAACGTAAGGGGTACCACTGTCGTTTTTTTTTCGGGCCGAATTTTTGAGTTTCGATATCTCAGCTCTGGAAGGGGCTAGAGCCTCCATTTTTGCACTCAGGTCTAAGTCTCATGGCCCTCTATCAGAATCCAGAGTTTTGGGAAGATTGGAGAAACTTAATTTTTCGCCCGAAAAAAAAAAACGTAAGGGGTACCACTGTCGTTTTTTTTTTCGGGCCGAATTTTTGAGTTTCGATATCTCAGCTCTGGAAGGGGCTAGAGCCTCCATTTTTGCACTCAGGTCTAAGTCTCATGGCCCTCTATCAGAATCCAGAGTTTTGGGAAGATTGGAGAAACTTAATTTTTCGCCCGAAAAAAAAAAAACGTAAGGGGTACCACTGTCGTTTTTTTTTCGGGCCGAATTTTTGAGTTTCGATATCTCAGCTCTGGAAGGGGCTAGAGCCTCCATTTTTGCACTCAGGTCTAAGTCTCATGGCCCTCTATCAGAATCCAGAGTTTTGGGAAGATTGGAGAAACTTAATTTTTCGCCCAAAAAAAAAACGTAAGGGGTACCACTGTCGTTTTTTTTTCGGGCCGAATTTTTGAGTTTCGATATCTCAGCTCTGGAAGGGGCTAGAGCCTCCATTTTTGCACTCAGGTCTAAGTCTCATGGCCCTCTATCAGAATCCAGAGTTTTGGAAAGATTGGAGAAACTTAATTTTTCGCCCGAAAAAAAAAAAACGTAAGGGGTACCACTGTCGTTTTTTTTTCGGGCCGAATTTTTGAGTTTCGATATCTCAGCTCTGGAAGGGGCTAGAGCCTCCATTTTTGCACTCAGGTCTAAGTCTCATGGCCCTCTATCAGAATCCAGAGTTTTGGAAAGATTGGAGAAACTTAATTTTTCGCCCGAAAAAAAAAAACGTAAGGGGTACCACTGTCGTTTTTTTTTCGGGCCGAATTTTTGAGTTTCGATATCTCAGCTCTGGAAGGGGCTAGAGCCTCCATTTTTGCACTCAGGTCTAAGTCTCATGGCCCTCTATCAGAATCCAGAGTTTTGGGAAGATTGGAGAAACTTAATTTTTCGCCCGAAAAAAAAAAACGTAAGGGGTACCACTGTCGTTTTTTTTTCGGGCCGAATTTTTGAGTTTCGATATCTCAGCTCTGGAAGGGGCTAGAGCCTCCATTTTTGCACTCAGGTCTAAGTCTCATGGCCCTCTATCAGAATCCAGAGTTTTGGGAAGATTGGAGAAACTTAATTTTTCGCCCGAAAAAAAAAAACGTAAGGGGTACGGGCCGAATTTTTGAGTTTCGATATCTCAGCTCTGGAAGGGGTTAGAGCTTCCATTTTTGCACTCAGGTCTAAGTCTCATGGCCCTCTATCAGAATCCAGAGTTTTGGGAAGATTGGAGAAACTTAATTTTTCGCCCGAAAAAAAAAACGTAAGGGGTACCACTGTCGTTTTTTTTTCGGGCCGAATTTTTGAGTTTCGATATCTCAGCTCTGGAAGGGGCTAGAGCCTCCATTTTTGCACTCAGGTCTAAGTCTCATGGCCCTCTATCAGAATCCAGAGTTTTGGGAAGATTGGAGAAACTTAATTTTTCGCCCAAAAAAAAAAAACGTAAGGGGTACCACTGTCGTTTTTTTTTTTCGGGCCGAATTTTTGAGTTTCGATATCTCAGCTCTGGAAGGGGCTAGAGCCTCCATTTTTGCACTCAGGTCTAAGTCTCATGGCCCTCTATCAGAATCCAGAGTTTTGGGAAGATTGGAGAAACTTAATTTTTCGCCCAAAAAAAAAAACGTAAGGGGTACCACTGTCGTTTTTTTTTCGGGCCGAATTTTTGAGTTTCGATATCTCAGCTCTGGAAGGGGCTAGAGCCTCCATTTTTGCACTCAGGTCTAAGTCTCATGGCCCTCTATCAGAATCCAGAGTTTTGGGAAGATTGGAGAAACTTAATTTTTCGCCCAAAAAAAAAAACGTAAGGGGTACCACTGTCGTTTTTTTTTCGGGCCGAATTTTTGAGTTTCGATATCTCAGCTCTGGAAGGGGCTAGAGCCTCCATTTTTGCACTCAGGTCTAAGTCTCATGGCCCTCTATCAGAATCCAGAGTTTTGGGAAGATTGGAGAAACTTAATTTTTCGCCCAAAAAAAAAAAACGTAAGGGGTACCACTGTCGTTTTTTTTTTCGGGCCGAATTTTTGAGTTTCGATATCTCAGCTCTGGAAGGGGCTAGAGCCTCCATTTTTGCACTCAGGTCTAAGTCTCATGGCCCTCTATCAGAATCCAGAGTTTTGGAAGATTGGAGAAACTTAATTTTTCGCCCAAAAAAAAAAACGTAAGGGGTACCACTGTCGTTTTTTTTTCGGGCCGAATTTTTGAGTTTCGATATCTCAGCTCTGGAAGGGGCTAGAGCCTCCATTTTTGCACTCAGGTCTAAGTCTCATGGCCCTCTATCAGAATCCAGAGTTTTGGGAAGATTGGAGAAACTTAATTTTTCGCCCAAAAAAAAAAACGTAAGGGGTACCACTGTCGTTTTTTTTTCGGGCCGAATTTTTGAGTTTCGATATCTCAGCTCTGGAAGGGGCTAGAGCCTCCATTTTTGCACTCAGGTCTAAGTCTCATGGCCCTCTATCAGAATCCAGAGTTTTGGGAAGATTGGAGAAACTTAATTTTTCGCCCAAAAAAAAAAACGTAAGGGGTACCACTGTCGTTTTTTTTTCGGGCCGAATTTTTGAGTTTCGATATCTCAGCTCTGGAAGGGGCTAGAGCCTCCATTTTTGCACTCAGGTCTAAGTCTCATGGCCCTCTATCAGAATCCAGAGTTTTGGGAAGATTGGAGAAACTTAATTTTTCGCCCAAAAAAAAAAACGTAAGGGGTACCACTGTCGTTTTTTTTTCGGGCCGAATTTTTGAGTTTCGATATCTCAGCTCTGGAAGGGGCTAGAGCCTCCATTTTTGCACTCAGGTCTAAGTCTCATGGCCCTCTATCAGAATCCAGAGTTTTGGGAAGATTGGAGAAACTTAATTTTTCGCCCAAAAAAAAAAACGTAAGGGGTACCACTGTCGTTTTTTTTTTCGGGCCGAATTTTTGAGTTTCGATATCTCAGCTCTGGAAGGGGCTAGAGCCTCCATTTTTGCACTCAGGTCTAAGTCTCATGGCCCTCTATCAGAATCCAGAGTTTTGGGAAGATTGGAGAAACTTAATTTTTCGCCCAAAAAAAAAAACGTAAGGGGTACCACTGTCGTTTTTTTTTTCGGGCCGAATTTTTGAGTTTCGATATCTCAGCTCTGGAAGGGGCTAGAGCCTCCATTTTTGCACTCAGGTCTAAGTCTCATGGCCCTCTATCAGAATCCAGAGTTTTGGGAAGATTGGAGAAACTTAATTTTTCGCCCAAAAAAAAAAACGTAAGGGGTACCACTGTCGTTTTTTTTTCGGGCCGAATTTTTGAGTTTCGATATCTCAGCTCTGGAAGGGGCTAGAGCCTCCATTTTTGCACTCAGGTCTAAGTCTCATGGCCCTCTATCAGAATCCAGAGTTTTGGGAAGATTGGAGAAACTTAATTTTTCGCCCAATCTCAGCTCTGGAAGGGGCTAGAGCCTCCATTTTTGCACTCAGGTCTAAGTCTCATGGCCCTCTATCAGAATCCAGAGTTTTGGGAAGATTGGAGAAACTTAATTTTTCGCCCAAAAAAAAAAACGTAAGGGGTACCACTGTCGTTTTTTTTTCGGGCCGAATTTTTGAGTTTCGATATCTCAGCTCTGGAAGGGGCTAGAGCCTCCATTTTTGCACTCAGGTCTAAGTCTCATGGCCCTCTATCAGAATCCAGAGTTTTGGGAAGATTGGAGAAACTTAATTTTTCGCCCAAAAAAAAAAACGTAAGGGGTACCACTGTCGTTTTTTTTTCGGGCCGAATTTTTGAGTTTCGATATCTCAGCTCTGGAAGGGGCTAGAGCCTCCATTTTTGCACTCAGGTCTAAGTCTCATGGCCCTCTATCAGAATCCAGAGTTTTGGGAAGATTGGAGAAACTTAATTTTTCGCCCAAAAAAAAAAACGTAAGGGGTACCACTGTCGTTTTTTTTTCGGGCCGAATTTTTGAGTTTCGATATCTCAGCTCTGGAAGGGGCTAGAGCCTCCATTTTTGCACTCAGGTCTAAGTCTC